TATTCCTTGTGTTCGCGGCGTTCAGCGTAGCATTACAACTGCTTCGCTTTCGCCGTCCACGCTATCAGCCAGACCATTTGCGAATCAGACGGCACGAAGATCATCAGCCTTTACAGGCGATTGGTTCGCTGGGCAGCGCATTTCGCTCTTCAATTCAACCGCCCAACACAGCCCCAAGTGACACCACCAGCCCCAATGTATGATGCTTGGCCTGTCTCCACAGCTTCCCCCCGGCAAATGAAGCAGAGATTCGAAATGCAATCCAATCTTTGAAACTCCAAAAGGCTCCGGGTCAAGACAACCTACCACCGGCTCTATTCAAAGATGGCGGGAGTGTACTTCTCAGCGAAATCCTATCGCTGTTCACGAAAGTTTGTACTAATGAGAACGTTCCGAAAGCATGGGGAGAATCGGTCATTGTCCGATTCACAAGAAGGGCTCCCGCGCCGATTGCTGCAACTACCGTGGCATCTCGTTAATCTCTGTCACATCCAAAATCTCCTTGTTGGTCCTACTTGGCAGGCTTTCAACGAGTAGAGAGGAGATTTGCCGAGGAGAACAAGCCGGATTTCGTCCAGGCCGCGGCTGCATCGACGAAATCTTCACCTTTCGGCAAGTTCTCGAACTTCGTCACTTCAACCGATGGCCAACAATCATAGTGCTTTTAGACATCCGAGCGGCATTTGATTCAGTAGATAGATCTGCGTTGTGGAACTGTTTACTGAAGAAAGGTGTGCCCGACAAGTTTGTAAGTATCCCGAAAGAACTTTACAGTCACACGTCGGACAGTCAGGACTTATTGCACGCACTCTTCTTCACTTGCTGTGACCAGCGGTGTTCGCGAAAGTTGCCCTACTTCACCTTTCCTCTTCAATTTCGCCATCGCAGATGTTGTCCAAAGAGCACTGGAAGGTGTCCAGAACTGCGGTGTTGAGCTCCTCCCTGGAGACAGAGTCACGGACTTGGACTACGCAGATGGTGTCGCTTTGCTGGGGGACGACACACAAACTGTCCAGAACACTTTGGACTGCTTAGCAATGGAAGCGTCTAAGTACGACTTATGCTTCAATCCGGGAAAATGTAAAACGCTGCTCCAGGACTGGCAGGTGCCTGAACTCCCCCTCACCATTACTGGACATGTGCTGGAGCAACTCCGTTGATTTACTTAGCTAGAGAATTGCATCACGGCTGGTGGTGGTGTTGGGGATGAAGTCTCACAACGGCTTGCAAAGGCCCGCTTGGCATGCATCAAACTGAGACACCTATGGCGCAGTCGTGATGTCAGTCTCAAGCTTAACGGCAGGATGTACAATGTTTTCGTTTGTGCAGTACTCTTGTAAGGCTGTGAGACTTGGCCTATTCGCTCGGAAGATATGAAGCGGTTGTCAGTCTTCAACAGTCGCTGTCTACGAAGGATTGCTCGGGTGTGGTGGCGACACCACGTAAGCAACTCAGATGTGTGAGACCGCGTGCTTGGGGCGAATAGTGCCAGTCTTCAGACCGTTATTCTCCGACATCACATGCGTTGGCTGGGACATGTTCTGCGCATGCCAGCCCATCGCCTTCCATTTCGAACGTTATTTGCACTCCTAGGGAGCGACTGGAAGAAATACCGCGGTGGAAATCCAATGACGTGGAGAAGGAGCATGAAGAAGGCGACCTCAAGGTTGGAGGCAGTCAGACCAGTCCGTTTTCCAAGTTGGGGACCAGGAGATGCTGAATCGCAGTGGTTGGAAACATTAGACGTCATGGCCCGCAACAGACGTCAGTGGTGTTAATGTTGTTCTGCCATTTTACCATCCCTTTGATGCACACAAAAGCACGTAAAACAATACAAACAATACAACAAGGTGTGTGTAAAAACAATAAAAGGCGTTTCCCATATTCTTATCGCAGTTCGAGTTCCCATCTTCTTCACATATTTTCTTCTGCCATGGTTCTGATGGCACAGTGCCTGTTAACAGATTGTGAATATATATATATATATATATATATATATATATATATATATATATATATATATCCGTCCACCATGCATGTTTGATGCAACGGAACTCTCGAGTCATTAGCCGTCGAATTTTGCGAAACTGACTATTGTTCCCCAAGTCACTGGGGTTTACCACATGTGCAACAAATGCTGCATTCTTCTCACACCAATGCGCTAATTGTCGCACTGTTCTCCTCAAACCAATCGGACCGTTTACAGTTTGCGCCCTCGAAGGTCTCCGCGGCAGCAGCTGCCAACTGCTCGCGAAGATGGTGCCACAGGTCGCGCACTTTGGCTATGCATTCCACATCACACAGGTGTACATCCATCGCCTTTTCCAGCTCAATACGTTTCGCCACAATATCGAGGTAGATGACGGTAAATTTATCACGGTTCACGGCAGGAGTGCAACACAAGTTTACAAAAATATATATACAGTTTGGTCTGCACCAGTATGTGAACAGTGCCACACTCAGGTCCATGCAGTACAGATATCATGTGGACTTCACACATGTCACGCTGACATACGGTAACATAGTCGAGCAGGTGAGCGTGACCACTCCGTGGGTGCGTCGAAGTCGCTATATCACTCACACTCAGTGCAAACGGAGTGTTCGTGATCGTCAGGCCGTGAGTGGCACACAGTGAGAGCAGCCTGTCACCGTTTGCATTCGCTGAACCAATACCATGCAAACCGATAACATCTGTCCACACCGATGCATCACGTCCGAGGCGCGCGTTAAAATCACCCAGCAGAAATGGTCGGTCACTCCTCGGCACAGACGGTATCAAGGAGGATAGCTGAGTATAGAACTGATCACGCATATCACCAGGATAACACATGGTCCGACCGTAGTGCTGATAAAAGTGACAAACTTACCTTTTCCGTGTCGCAAGCTAGCAGTCATCAGCCTCGCGCTAATGCCAGTCTGCTCTCCCACCAGCTGGCCATTGAGGCGGTCGGATAGTGGAAATGCGAATTCATGTTCACGTGGTGCTGAGGTGGCGTTCCTCACCCAGTAGAATGTGTAGCTAACACCAGCTTCATGTAACTTACTTTGCTCATCGAATCAGGTCTCACGGAGGGCCGCGATATGGATGCTGTAGCGCGATGGTTCCATCGCGACCACAGCAATGCGTCGCTCGGAAAGCTCACCGGAGTTCCAGTCCCGAAGTGTGCTCAGGTTCTACCACCCGATATTAAGTGCTTTGCGCACAGGCGTACCATTGCGTTAAATAAACTTTTATTCTCGGATAAGCGAAGTATGTCTGCACAGGCATTATCATGTTAAGCGGGAAACAGGTGATCATGAAACGTACAATAGGATTGTCACAGGAGTGTCATATATGTTGATACATGTATGTATTTATGTGTGCGTATTTATGTGCGCTGCTGCTGATTTTGCATTCTTGATGCTTTTTCACCGCAGTTGGGCTAAACTAACTTCCACTTAAACTAGGTCTTTATAAGCTGGCTAAATTTCATGCCACTTTATTTGATTTGTTCTGCCAACTTGATTAAACTTCCATCAACTGGCCACGTTGCTTACGTTAATTGCGCTTATCTTCGGTAACTTCGCTGCACTTGTAGCATTTATAAATAACTTATGGACATTTTCTCCTTATCGCAGATTCGTTGCTAACCAACTTATTTCATATGCTAATTTAGCGAAGGGTTATGCCACCGTATCTCCATGCATTATTCGAGTTATTTTATTTCCTCTTATCTTTTCAAGTGAATGGCTGTTGCTTGATATCCCCGGTGTGGCTGCGCTTGAGGTGCATGTTGACAAGGTGCCTACCTGTCTATTACCCACTACCTCTTCCATACTGGCTCCAGGAGACAGTTGGTCGTTGCTGGAGGGGACGGGGTGCACGGTCCTTGTGGTCGTGCTAGGCTCGAAGAGTGGTTCCCTGCACTCATTGTGGAGCGGACTACGGTCCAGCCACCGCCCTGTGTGCGCTTGATTCCCAAATACAGTGTGTCTGTGTTTACCTGTAAAGGAGTGTGTGCCGGCTCCGTTGATGAAACGTGGCCCCCATCCACCTGCCTCCCGGTCTCATTCCTTTAAGTTTACACTTGATATGGGGTGTGTGTTTGGAGTCGTTGGTGGTGCAGCGCAAGCCATCCATGGTCCCTGTGTAGGCGCAGGCGTCCTGTGGCTGGCCACAGTGATAGGCAAATCCGAAACCGGATGTCGGCATCCATATATATATATATATATATATATATATATATATATATATATAACGAGGGTACACGTAAAGCTCTGCTCTCGTTTTGGTAGTTTACCTTTGCTGAACTAGTAATTTGTCAGTGGTTGAGGGAAAGTTTGATGAAGAGAAGTAGCAGGCCGGATGTAAGCTCACCGTATACAATCCAGTCATCACCCTAATTGATCATCCAATTGCCAAAAAAGAAGATCTAAGCACTTGTCATCGAGCTCATTTTGTATTTAATGTAGGCAATCATATAAGCAGGAATCCGAAGATCCTCCGGAATGGAGACAAACTGGTCGTTAATTAGGAAGGATATTCAATGAAATTTTTTTAGTCCCTCCCAGAACCCCACAAGACAGATAGTACGAAAACCAATCCAGGGAAGCACTGGACTGCCGTTTCGCTCCGTTGAGCCTCGCCAATGATGCAAATCCTCCGGCTCCACCAGGAAGCGATGCAATGACACCCCTAATATTGCTCCGACCAGTGAGCAGCTTATGCCTCTGATCAGTGGGAGACTATGGCAGAGCGTGAGAACTTGCGTGCTAACTTGAATTTAGCGCGACCCATCCTATAGTACCATGCAGATTTCAGAGGACAGTGGGTGGTATTCAGAGGGCACGTCTTCCGCTGCACAGCAGTTACGTGCGTGCAATACTTGAGTGTTTTGAGGGCGAATTTTTTTAAATAATGGGCACAGGATTTTTAACATGAATTCAGTGCTTTTTCCAGCTATCGTCAATTTATCGACGCCGTTCGGAACCGGTGATGATTTCTTTTATTACCTTTACAGTTAAGGTCCAGAAGACTGCGCAATCGGTCGGAAAATGCAAAGAATTCCCTTCCCGACAAGATAAACGAGACCATACTCAAGGTGAGGTATTCGCATTTTAGTGTTTAAAGTTTCATGAATGTCAGCTGTGCTACTCACCGATATTGACGGATTGATTTTATCTGACCACTCTTTTCTTGTATACATGCTTCGCATTTGGGGGGTATCACTGGGTACTGTCAAGATTCGACTGCAAATCATCTGTTGTCATACTGAAGCATCTAAGCTTGAGTTAAAGCCCCTTGGTGCTGTCGCCTCACATGGGTCTTCAACTGGTTCTAAAGAAGGCAGAATGAACCCTGCCGAAGGAGCAGGAATGTAACTCAAGGTGAATCCAAACGGCTTGTGTTATGTATCGGCAAATGCACTGGGCCTGTGTGCAAACTGGTCCCCGAGATACGTTGTACACGGTGAGTGAAAACAAAACAAGCCGTCGGCAAAGTGAATTCTGTGAAAGTGACTAGATCTGAGCGCGAGCAAACTACCGGCTGGTGATCAATCGATAAACAGTGAGTCAGTTATTTGCAGGCTACAGAGTGCTTAGTCACGTTGGGAAGAATTAACGATGAGCGCAAACCACACAGTACCCCTCACTCCTTCTAAACGAGCACAACGGAATGAGTTCCTAGTTGAGTGACTCTCATTTCGCTTACGGCATCTGGTAAGGGAACGCGTAAAGTAACCCGCATTAACTCCTCGGTCAACTGCGATTTCTCCGTTTTTGTTCAATTTCGTCGTGGATTCTATTATGGAATGTTCCCTTGCGGAATCCAACGATGTAGGCGTTGAAGTGCTGCCTGGTGAACGGTTAGTTTATCCAGATTATGCGGACGATATGGTCTTGCTTTTCGACAATGCTGAGGCGGTACAATTAACCCTGAATAGCCTATCCAGAGTGGTCCCATTATTTGGTATGCACTTCGCACCTTCAAAGTTCAAAGTGTTGCTGATGGACCACCAGCCACTCGATGACCCCTTGACGCTTGCTAACGATGAACTCGAGGTGGTTGATCATTTCACTTATCTTGGCAGCTGCATCAGCAATGATGGGCGTATAGAAACTGAAGTGAGCTCACGCACTGCAAAGTCCAGAGCTGCCATCTTGAACCTGCGGCATCTTTGGCGACAGAAGGGAGTTTCCCTCCGTCTGAAAGGCCGTGTATACAAGGCCACAGTGAGGGCCGTTCTGCTTTATGGTAGTGAAACTTGGCCCCTTCGGTCTGAAGATCTGAGGCGCCTTCAAGTCTTTGATAATCGTTGTTTGTGAAGCATTGCTGAAGTCGGATGGCACCAGCGTGTCCGCAACGATGATGTGTGTAGGCGAGTACTAGGTGGTGATAATCTTGCTAGCTCCCTAGAACAACAGATAGCACTGAATAAGTTGCGTTGGCTCGGGCACGCGCTACGTATGCCTGGTCACCTCTTACCTGAGAGGGCCTTGTTTAGTCTGCCAGGTGTAGGATGGCGCAAAGCTCGAGGTGAACAGAAGTTGACTTGGCAGCGGGAAATGAAGTCACTGACTACCAAACTGGGTGCCGTTGGTCCGTCTCGCCTTCCGGGCTGGAGTCCACTTGACTCACCTTGTGCTTGGCTCGAGAATTTACAGGACATGGCTCGCAACCGACACTGGCGCGTCTGCTGCCGTCTCCTAATTTGATTGCCTGTTTAGTGTGTTTGGTGCTGAGTTATCTGCGGGGTAATGGCTGATTATGACGCGTGGCAGTGAAAGCCGCAAGGAAGCTGTCTCGCCGATGCCGTCTTATCTTTGCACGATAACCAGCTGTTTGTGACGGTATGTTGTCTATACAAGGTGTAGGCGCCTTGACCCTGAATGTTTGCTTAGGGCATTAAGGTTTTCTGGTATGTCCCCATTCTCTCCCTCTTCTTATTCTTTATTTCATAGGTCCTCATGGTTGTATGGCAGCGAAGCATCAGTTCAAATGGTTGATGTACTGCTGTTGATGATGATGATGATGATGATAATGATGAGGATGATGATGATGATGATGCGATCTCATACGTCCAGGTGATCCTGACGAAGCTCGACAGAGTCAGCTGCTGTTGTCCTCTTTTCTGCCCAGCCGCACGAAGGCTCTTGGGTGCGGTGTTTAGGCTGGCCCTTCAGAACTGGGCTTATACGGTCAGCGGCGCCCGCGTTACTGAGGGTCGTTGTTTTCTGGACCGATACAGGTGCGTTCGAGTTCGTCCGCGGCGTCATACTAAACATCCCTTCTCTTGGCGTGTAAGCGGTTACTCCGGGGTGCGAATTTCTCTACCTAGATAGATCCCAATCACCGAAACTTCTCACTGCATGCTGGACAGATTTACCCTTAGCGAGCGAGTGTTACCCTCAATCAAACCGGGGATAGCTTGGTTGCACAGAAGATATTACACATGTTTCTCACCGAGGAAGAATCGCCGGAACGCCTGGTATGTAACTTGTGGCTCATAGCTTTCAAAAGAGGCAAAAATAAGTGCCTCAGTCTTCGTATAACGGCTGAAATATTCACATCGTCACAAACATAAATCCAAGGCGGTTTGCAGTAAAAGCACGCCTGTTTGGATACGCTTGGTGACCTAGTGCAGTACAACCCACAGTGGTGCCTGGGTTGCGGGTATTTTCATCCCTCCCAGTCCCACTCCAAACACGAGCTCACTGTTAATGAACGACACATAATAACGCATAAAAATATGTTTATTCTCGTCCGCTTTGTGTTTTTTTCTTTTTACTGCCATTTGGTTGAGTTGTACTTCAGCATAATAGCTGGGCTGTTCCCTATTCCAAGAATGACGACAATGATGACATGGTCTCCAAACATTGGCGTTGTGATTCCTGCTGTCACGACTCCGTAGGGTATACCGTTACGGGTATATCAATCGATTTCGAAATTTCCATACATTCCGACAGGTGTCACAATATGGGACACAGGCCTCCAACAGTTCAATAATATACCGCCACCAAAAGGCCTCTCACAACCGGCGCTTCATACTCACGATGTCAGTGCGTCCCCAGCGCGCACATCTGATAGTTTCTGATGTTACTTCTGTTGGCGCGAAGAAGCTAGGTGCACGCGTAAGGTAATCATCAGTGAGTGTGTGCCTGTTTTGTAAACAGATAAGCTGCGTCTTTTACCACTGAGATCCCTGTAACAACATCTGTCTCCAGAAGAGTATTCGAAAATGACTTGTGCGTTAGGATTACTTTGACTGGTTTCTTGAAGCGCATCATTAGTAACGGTGAAAGACCGCGTGCTTGTACGGCGGCATTCACGGCATATTCATCGTCTTCATTATGCGGAACGGTTAAGGGAAGACGTGAAAGGTTATCCTTGATCTTATTAACGGAAAATTGCGGATCGTGGTTTGAGATTCGTAATTCGGCAAAGGAGTATACTAGCTGTTGGTCCAAAGTGTTTTTTGGTCATTAGTTCTTCGATCTAGGTTAGTAATTAGAGCAGTGTGATCCCGTAAATCCTCCAAACATTGGTAGGTCTGGTTAACTTTTCTGGTGTTCATGTGGCCGCCGAGCTTGACATAAAGTTTGCGGACGTTTCCGCACTAGACACGGTGAAGATGTCAGTGAGCAGCGAAAGGTAGTGCTGCTGGTGTAGACTATCTTCAATTTACAGGGCAGAGAATGAACATCACATCATCCCTGTACCCATCGTTAACAGGGCCTCCGTATATGACCTTGTAACGTGGACCACTTGTGACCGTTCCATACACTCTTTGGATTGATGCTTCGACCTGTAACTCGATTGACCTTCTGCCTACCTCACACTCGTCGCGATTATCATTTCACTTCGCTATAAGTGCAACACCAATCCTCAACTGGTCTTCAATTTCAGTTCAGGTGATGGTAATGGCAATTCGTTTTCATTGGCTGTGCATACGAATTTTCGATGAGCATGTGCGGTTGAGATTGGTCGTGCATTTATAACTTGACTTGGGATGACTTGCAACAACCACATTGGTATAATGGCCTTATGATCTACAGGAAGGGCTTACTCGAGGTGTGATGCGTTTGACCTTATGGTGGAATATGTCAAAATACTTGACGTTCAGGGCCCGGAGAACCACGTGTAAATAAGTAAAATAACCGCATCTCAAGGGACAACGACCGCATAAAAACCTGCCATTGGTCAAACCCTCAACGATGGGCACAACCGTCAGTCTTGACTTAACATGCAACAGTTAGTTTTCAGTTACCGAGAAATTCCCCTGCTTGTATACGAGCGCAAAAGGCCTTAGCAAGACGTTGACCGAGCTCCGACGTCGTCGGACTTTACCGCCTCGATATACTACTGATCGCCGAAATGTGACAAACCTGAGACATTACTGACTTTGAGATCACTCTATCCGGTTCTCTCCAGAGCTACAAACAGTTGATTATTCAATATACGTGACAGGCTTGATCAGATCGCTCACCGCAGATTACTCAACCTTGGATCCGATTTTTCTGAATTCATGTGAACGCGATGCTGTGTACCAGAGAGGAGCAGAAAATGACAAAAAATAAAATAGGTCAAACTGTGGCAGAGTAAGTCGAAAACCGTCACAGCACCATGAATCTCAGGGTGTACATTAGTCTGCGTTCGGATTCCGAGAGCTAACGCAATGCTTTTGTGCATGTGTGTGCATGAGTAACATTCCAACATATATTCACAGTATACATTCCAGAATATGCCAAGGAAATGTAAGTTTCGGTCGTATTTCGAAACACCACTGCTTCTACGTATTCTATCCAGGTGAAACCAAAGGCAACTAATTGACAGAGATTCAATTCAAACTTAATTATCACAAAGGGCGGAATTAAGTGACGCAAACAATTGCATTACACTACTCACAAAAATATCCACAAGTAATTGCATAACTGTTGCCATATGGTTGACGGCATCCGATTACACAATTGCCTGTCAATGTGACTTCCATAGGACAGCCACAGGAAGTCTGCGGCTACAGAGTAGCATCCATTATATCACCCATGGCTCTAATCACACACCCATATCCAGTGTAAACTCGAACGAATGAGACCGGGAGGC